GTCCATGTCAATCAGTGAGTCTCTACTGGTCTCCACCAACCACTCCTGTTCCCCACAGCCAAGGGAGGCCCCCACTACCATACTGTGGGCGAGAACTGGGAGCCTGGACTAATGGACCGTCACTCACCCTGGGCCTCTCTGCCCAGAGGACTGTACTCCCGGGAGCTGACCTCTTGCTGTCCAAAAGCAGAGCACACTGCAGTGACCTGCAAACTCAGGTGACCTGGGACTGCAGAGAAGCCAGTCAACACATCAACCTCCTGGAGCTGCTGGCTGTATGCAAGGTGCTAATCTCATTCCAAACTTCCCTATGCAGTCAATGTGTACAGATTGCCACGGACAACACAACCAGGATGTACTGTCTGAACAAGCAAGGAGGCACATAGTCCATTCTGCTCATCATAGACATATGAGACTGGTGCATCACCAGAGACATCACAATCACAGCAATTCACATGGCAGGTGAAAACAGTATCTTGGCAAACATTCTCTGCTGCACAACCCTTGACTCACATGAGTGGGAGTTGAATGAGATGGTCTTCTCCAACTTCCATGACAGATGGGGGGCACCATCAGTTGACCTCTTTGCCACACCCCACAACATGACACGCCCCCAGTTCAGCTCCCAGGCAGGACAGGAAATTGGCTCCCTGGGAGACATCTTTTTTCCTTCTGATGGAGTTGGATCCTATTCTACGTCTTTCCTGCAGCCGCCCTAATCACCTGGGTGATCATTAAGATCAGGAAGGATAGAATGGACGGTATCCTCATCACCCCATGGTGACTGAAGCAACTGTGGCTCACTTGGCTCCTCCAGCATTCCCATGGGAACTTCACCCACCTCCCACATGCCCAATATCTCACAAGACCAGGCCCAGTTCTTCACCCTGATGTTGGGACCCTATACCTCAAGGCCTGAAGGATTGTCCCCTAGAGTTGGGGGAGCACCACTACCATCTGAGGTATCATCAGTACTGGTTGTAGCCCTGAAGCCATCTACAAGAAGGTCCTATGGGAAAGTGGAACATCTTAAAAGCCTTCACAGATTTCAACCCATGGTGGGCCATCATCGAACAGATCCTGCATTTCCTGCAGACCCGTTTCTGGAAAGGTCTCACCCCCTCATCAGTCTGTGTATACCTGGCAGCTATCTTCTTCTTTCACCCAGCAATCAAAGGGGCATCAGTCTTCTTTCACCCACTGGCACACAGATTCCTGAGAGGACTGTGAAACCTCACTCTCCCAACTTAACCCTACACCCTGGCATGGAGCCTGTCAGTAGTGCTACACAGCCTCACCAAAAAACCCTTCAGGTCCCTGGCTACAAATGACTTGTGGCTCCTGTCCTGGACGGAGGCCTTCCTAGTGGCGATCACATTGACCCATCACGTCTGGGGACCTTCCGTAGGGACAAAGCTGTTCTCTGCTTGGACCCTGCCTTCCTACCCAAGGTGATTTCACCTTTTCATCTCAGTCGGGACATTGTCCTCCCTGTTTTTTTCTCCACTCCATCCATCCCAGTAGAGTCTATCCTGCACCCATGTCCATGGCCCTCCTTGCTGGAATCCCCTTGCAAGATGTGTGCAGAGTAACCATGTGTTTCATACCTTCAACACTCAACAGACACTATGGACTGGGCGTCTGTGCAAGGGCAGACTGCTCCTTCAGCAGGACAGTCCTCTCCCCAGTCCTTCAGAGATGACCACATGCCTCCATGCTACACAGGATAAGCTAACTAGTCACTCATATGTGATGCACAGAGACCACAGAGAAGAAAAGCAGGTTGCTTACCTTTAACTGTCATTCTTTGAGTAGTCATCTGGGCATTCACACAAGCTGCCCTCTGGCCCTTCAACTATTGCCCTTACTCTCCAGGGAAGCTTGGGGCTGAACCAGGTCAGTGTTTCTTGCTCTCTTCCCCTCGGTCAAGAAATTCATGGCAGTCTCCATAGGAACTGAGAGGATGGGCGGGAGCCTCTCCTCATGTTTCCTGGGAACAGGAAGTGGAGGGGCTTCTGCCCAAAATAAACACTGAATATAGAAGCTTCCTGACAATAGGCTGTGTGTAGGCACAGAACCTCAAAAGTACGAAAGCACAGATGACCACTCGAAAATGACAGTTACAGGTAAGCAACCTGCTTTTCCCAAAGGATTAAATTCAGTTATCATAATTCTGAGTTCCAAAGGCCTCAGTAATCAAATGTGAGATCCTGGGGCTTTTAATTTACCTTATATAAACTTGGACGTTTTCTTTTTCGGGCCCTAATGAAAGATATGAGTGCCATACAAGAATGTATTTTATAAACAGTAAAGTATATTTTGGCTTTAGTATACCAGTATATAATTCGACTGCAGAAAATATTGCACAAACATATTGCACATACACTGAGTTTCTCTCTTCATCCAGTAGTATAGATCAAGTCTCCATCCTTGCAGACTTACCTAACCCTTGGAAGAAGAGACATAGTTTTTAGGATGACCACCTATTCTTAAATGTAATTTTAAAAACAGAAATCTTCAAAGCATTTTATATGTGTAAAGTGTATTTTTTACAATTGTGACTTTTATAATAATTTTATAATACTTTAATATCCAGTATATTATATAGTATGCACAAGATTACTGGAGTCTTTATTCATTTGAGAGACAAGTACACTTACTGGAACTAAGTCCCACTGGGGAAAAAATGGAATTTCTTTCCATGTATAGGCATGGGCTGCACAACTAAAGGAATTCAGAATTTCTTCCTAAAAGGGGAAAAAATCCTTACTGCAAATAAGGAGCAATGAGCAATAGAAAGATAGCAAGCAAAAAAGTTAAAAAGTGAATGAGTCCCATTGGAATAAATAGGGATGAGTCCATTTTTAAAGTCTGGGATCATATTGCCTTTGATGCAATATTTAGTGCTCCTTGGTTAAAACAAGAAATTGTTTCTCATGCAAGCACACTGTTAATAGGTAAATATTCAGAACATCAGGTTTTTAGTGGAACACAGACCAACTAATGGCCAAATATGCTATTTAAATCAGAAAGCAAGATCCCTGTTCCTAGAGTTTGGATTTCATATTAGATGATAATTTAGCAAACACATTTTAATTAACACCCTGAATAAACAATTATGTAATGATTTTTCCATTCAAATGAGTACAAAGGCTCTTTTCTAAAATGCATCCCAATAGAAAAAGGTAACAGCTGGCTCAAAAATCTAGAAAATGGCACACTACATGCATGGCTTTGTATATCAATGTATTTTATGATCCTATTAAACAGTTTGGAACAAAGTCAGAAGTAGAGATCTGGAGAATAGCACTTATGTAATGGACTCCCAAATGATAATGCACCTGTTGTACACATAATTAATTAAAATACTGTTGATGAAAGTTATATTGTAAACAAGCCCTAATTAAAACAACACTTAAGTGCTTTAATGTATTTTGAATCCAAACTGCAAATGTGCTGGGTATTGCTAAACTGTATGTCCTTCCTTTCCCTCTTCACTCCTCTGCATAACTTCAGACATATTTAGCCACATGTAGCAACAGCTTCCTAGCAGTCTCAGTAGGTTTTATCCAAGAGCCGTGAACCTGAGTACACCATTTCAGGATGGAATCCACTGCAGCTACTATAGGCTGAAGCATGGCTGGTACTCGCAGCAACCCTTGTAGGCCTTACAATGTTTTGAAAGCTCAGGATACCAGGGCTTTAACAAGGCTATTTGCTGATACCCGCACTTGTGAACTGTGCCCAAGGAGCCTTTATATGTTCTGAAATAACCAACTCCACATGGCTACAAGAGAAGCGTTAAAGTCAACTCTCCAGAAAAAATTCTGAAGAATCTCTGGCACAGGGACCACGAAGCAAAGACAATTCCTCATGCCTACTATAGAAGCAGTTGCAAAATCCTCATGCTATCTTTAACTTGAAGTCTTCATTTTAAAGAAGAAAACCTAAAATATTATGCCAAATGATATAATTAAAAAGCATAAACTAATAAGTATATTTGACATAGAAAACATTTGCCTTACTTCAATTTAAAATTACTGAATGGACAATATTTAAAAGTTCAGCTTAAAACTCACCATTTTAGAAGCTTAACCTGTGAAGATAACCTCCTCATCACAAATGACATTAATTAAAAAATATTCATCTACAGTTTATAATCCCAAGTATCTGTAAGACTAATTCAGAAGTTATGAACTTAAAGGGTGCTTGTGCCCTTTAAAGAGAAAAAAAACCCTATTTAATAAGAAATAGACAACTAATGAAAGAACTTGAGTACTGAAGATTTACTCTTGTGATGTTAGTAATCTGTTTTATCTTTTAAAACCAAAGTTAACATGACATGGAGTGAAGGATATGTGGGCCTCATGAGCATTTTCACTACATTGTGTTCTGCTTGACTGAAGCAAGCACATGAAAACTGAGACAGGAAGAAGGTGGCTAGGTTAGAAGCTTTGTGGTATGTCTGCACCACAAAATGGGTGGGCTCCTTGAAATACTGCACTCTGATTTCAGGGTAGTTCAGTGCTGAGGGGCTAATGCAGGTGTGGTATAATAGTAGCCAACATCACCATGGTCTAAGCTGCAAAAACAAATGTAGGAAAATACCCTATCATTTCATGGCTAGTATCAAAGCAAGCATCAAACTGAATACCAGAAAGCTTACTCAAAAATTACCCAAAAAGGCTATACCTCAATACTTTCCTCATAACCAAGGCACCTGTTTGTCCACACCATATAAAAGATTATTTTTCTAGGATTCACCATCCCTCAAACATATGTGGAAGGCACATATCTATTCAGAATATGGAATATATGTAAATCGCTTCTTCCAACCCCAAAGAACATATGCATTCAGATGTGACAACTAATTTGAATCTGTGAGGAAAATTATTGTGCTGAACCTTTGTTTTTCACAAACTCAATATAACTGTCAACTATCACACAAGACCACTCTTCCCATCCACACTGCATTATTAAAGGTACAGATCAATATTTACCTTTGCTCCATGTTTATGAAGAACTTCCATAACATCATTGTGAGCTCGCTCAGCAGCGACATGCAAAGGAGTCATGAAACTAGTTTGAAAACGAAAGGAGAAGAAAAAAGAATAAACAACCTTCAAAGGGTGCCAATTCCATCTAAATGCAAATGTTGCAAATTTAAAGAATACACATACTCTTTGTTTTTCTCATTGACGTTGGCTCCTTTCCTGAGCAGTAACTCAGTAACTTGTTTCCGTTTGGGGTGAAGAGAAGCCACAGCACAGTGCTGGAAAAGAAACAAATGATAGTCTACAAAGACTTACCCTAGCACTAGAAATCAAAACTGTAGCAGATATTGGAAACAAAAGCTGAGAAGGCTGCAATTAGCCTTCTACTATAATATAACAGTGCACAACACATAATTTGCTTATTTGGATGTGAGCCTATGTCAGAAATCTAAAGAAGAGTTGTGTAAAAGTGCTTGTGGCCCAAGCTTACTTTGCTGTATCAGAGAAATTTCCTGTGCCAAAGAGGCAAACTACTTTTTAAACTACACCAAGTTTTTGATGTAGCCATATTCACAAGCTTTTAAGTAGTGAAGAGTGTCCATATAAAACAGGAAAGCACCAGATAAGTAAAGGTGCCCATGTATGCATGTACATACTCCTCTTCCCCAGCCTGGAAGGGAGAAATTGGGAGTGAGAAAGGGCATAAACTTGGCAAATGACCCCATGGCTACAGACTCATAGACTCCCTCCATTTCTTTGGAACTACTTCAAATTCTGATTATTATTAACAATTATTACAGGTGATACTCACATAATTCTTAATCACAGTAAAGGGGAGGCAAGGAAATTCTGCTTGTTAGGAGATGGCTTAGCACAACTGAGAGTATGATTCAGTAGCCTGTTCCTTTTGGAAATTAAAAGGCAGTTGTTCTTGGCATGCATTTCAAGGCCAGGGAGACTTGAATTATTCAGAGGGGGAGAAAACCCTTGGAAGAGCCCTTGGAAACAGGATCTCCAGATTTTGAGATGGAAGAGGTAGAAGGGTTTATCTCAAGGCTGCCCTCGCCAAGTGTTTAGGTGGACCCTGAGAATAGCCACAGTTTGTAACTGCCAGAAGAGGGCATAGAATGGGAGGCAGGCAAACCTGGTATGATCCTTGACAGTGTGATGAGGTATCGGGAGAGAAGGGCTAGCCAACTAGAAGGGCAGCATATAGCTAAGAGGCTGGCCCATCTCCAGAGGCTCTCCCTAGAGTTGTGGGGCCCAGGACTACTCAAACAGATGCTTCTTGAAGGTAGTTTCTAGTGTGGGTTCAACATACCACTCTGTGCATGTTCAGATACTTTCTTTGCTGATTATGCTTTGTTGGATGTATACGGGAGAATAAAGAACTTTCGCCAAAGAATGGTCTGTTGTCTTGAACAGATGAAGGGTGAAACCTAGCTCCTGACAGTTCCTTGGTGAGGAACAAATCATGTTATATTTGAATTGCCACCTCTGAAATCCTCTTCTTCCAAAAGATAAGCAAACATCTTCCTATTCTAGCATATTTTGACAGGTGCTGAAGTAATTACATTTGCAAAAACACAAGATGCATTTGAGGGACTGCTGATTCAAAGCGAAGGACTGGAAAACATTTGGTTTTGAATGGCAGAATTCTCATTTTCCAGCTCAAGTTGGATAACAAGGAAGAAGATGCCCATTGCAGGTTTTTCTTTAGATCATTACTAAGTAGGCCAAGCAACACGTTAGATCTGTGATGGGCTGAACTAAATTTATCTGGAAGATGCTGGTCTAACTGTGCATAAGTCCAGCAACAACTACGTATACAAAACTTTAAGGGTTGCCTTAAGCAAGCAGAGTGACTTCACGATCTCACCAGTGCTGTCTCATGGGACTGTGGCTGCTTGAAATTAATGACCTCCAAGGCAAGTGTCTTCTTTACTTTGGCTAAGTCTGCTTCTTTTGCTGCTTGTAGTAAGGAATGTCCTTTGAATTCATCTGCAGGGGAATTAACAATATTCACAACTGTCAGATTCATATAACATTAGTTTAGAAAAACAAATGTTTAACAGGACAAAGGCAATTCTTTAGTTGGCTGTCCAGTGTATCCTAACATATTCTCTCAGTAAAAATAAAATATCATTCCTAGGTTGAGAGGCAAAGGACTCTTCTTTCAATGCCACTCCCAATTAAAAATAGCATTTTCCAGGTGAAATTATTTCTTCTGACACTTTAAAGGGCCCTGAACAGTTTGCTTAAAGGGAGGATTACACGGGTAAATCAATCAAGTTCAGATTATAAATCACATTTTATCAAAGGTATTGAGGAGAAAAATTAGACAAATTTGCAAGAGAAAGGCCTCGGAACTGATTAATGCCTGCGGTCAGTAATTAAGTAGTTACAGACAAATCTATGGAAGGCATTTAGGTTAAAGATTAGCATTCTACTTGCCTGTCACAGGAAGAAGCACTATTGCTCAAATTCCTGGCCAAATTCAAGAATAAATTGTTGACCATGAAATAAAGGGTTGAACCAATGAAAACTCTGAGTGGGCAAATTTAGTTCTATTCAGTATTTCCTCAAGATCAAACTTAGCATATGAAAATGGGAACAACAAATCCTCTTTAAATGTCTTTCAAACTTTAATCCACAGATTTAGACAATGTGTGGTATGTAGACATGGACCATATACTGTCACCCCAATTCAGAGGCTCATTATGCAAGCACAAATAGTTCATAGCTGTATAAAAGTATCTCCCTTAATTATAATTTTGTTGAAAACCACACACTTGCATCTTCATGGCATGTATGGCATCAAAATATATGCTCAAAAGTTATTTACACTGAGGTGAACAACTCATGGTCCACATGATACTGCACCAAATTCTGCACTGCACCAAATTCAGCAATGCCAACCCTCTTGGAAAATGCACCAAGTTCCATAATTTTAGCACCACATAGCCTCTATACTGCACTGCAGGCATCGTATCAGTTTGAGGACAAACAGTCCAGAATTTGTTGATAATTGAAACTCATTGCTGTTTATCTCTCAACACTCAAGACCTCTAGAATTGGAGGTCACATCAAACTACCTATACTTGGATTGCTTATGAAGCCAGATGCAAAGGTTCTGTATTTCCTCCAATTTCAGAGGAATATAAATGGCTGGAGAACACAAACAGGAGGCTACTATTGGGTACTTGTTCCACTTCTGGGTTGGCTATGGGCTTCTGACAGCCCACTTTGAGAAGAGAATGCTGGACTAAATATATGTCGGTCTGATTTAGTAGGGTTCTTAGGGTCTTGATCGATAATTGCTATTCGGATCCATTCATTCTGCTTCTACTAGTCATGAGGGTGAAAGGGGGTTAAAGAAGCTATCCCAGGCATTAAAATTGACTGCAGAAAATACTATGCACCAATTTCTTTGGCTTCCAAGATTTCACAAGAATTCTCCACATCAAAGAGGACATTGCAACTACCTCTGGAAAAAGACAAAGAAAAAGCTGAGATTCTCAAGAAGTTGAAATCTGTAGACAACACGACATCCCGTGTCTTTTCCACTAATCACAGTATGCATACAGCCCTGTACAATTGTGAATGACAATATTTTGTACGCTAGCAATACTTACAGGTGAGCCTCTCTTTCAGCTCAGGTGTTGGGGCCATGTCAACAGCACTTTTGCCATGACAGTTGACTAATGTTGGATCTGCACCATGGCTGAGTAGTAAAGAACAAACTTCCACACGATTCTTGGAAGCAGCTTCATGTAACGGAGTAAACTGCCAAAGATCCATTGCATTAACACAAGCTCCATGCTAAATAAGAAAGGAAAATAAGATGAGTACAGGATTCACATCTATTGTTATGTAGTACCAGCCTTGTGGATCATTTTTAGCTTTAACAGAATAAATCTGATCAACTAACTGAAACTTAAACTAGAATGAATTAACATTATAACAATACATGTCCAAATAATGTAATAAATACTAGATAGGAAAATGTGTTCTAGGTTTGCTTCTTGGACATATACTGAATAATTAAAATCTATCCAGAATATGAGACTGAGATGATATGTATGAGATGATAAAAGATCGATTTCAACAACATGAAAGTAGTAGACAGTACTGTGTTTTCAGAAATGAATACACGCTGTGGCACATAAGTGAAAGACTTTGTTTAATCACAAGTTTCATGTGTGATTTCCTGTAAAATGAATCCGACAGGGAACTGGATGTCCCTGAAATATTATTCTCTTATTTGACTGTCTAAACAGGAAGAAATTCCCATGAGGTTAATCTTGTCCCCAACACCTGCTGAATACAGCAAAGTGTACTTATTAAAATATTTCTATCCCATATTTTGGACCACAGAGTTTCCAAATTACAAAATGTTTACAAAATGTTATTTAAAAATACAAATCAACAGAGAATAGTATACAACACATGAATACTACAAAGCATAACTGTCATCAGAAATATATTCCCTTTAACTTACTTTCAGCAGCAATTCTGTAACTTCATAATGTCCATAGGAACATGCATTGTGCAGAGGCACAAGTCCACTAAAATAAAATTATAAAATAAAGACATTAAACAGATCCATATTTGCCTCAAAGAAGAGATGTTTACACATTTTAGATTGTAATTAAATTTTAAAACCACAGTCTTCTAAAAATTCAAGGCCATTATTTCTAGCTGGTTGTAGGTTTACACAAATCTGAGCATGTAAACATAACCAACACACATAACCTTGTAACTACATGTATTGTCAATTGGTCACAATCTGAAGAATTCTATAGGTGTATGCATAGATTTGCCACATGCAGTTAAACTCAACTGCTGCTCTTCTGGATGGCTGTTTTCAGGGTGGCCTGTTGTAACATGCAAATTCAGGATGATAGTTTGTGCAAAGTTTGCTAGAAAGGACTACAGAGCTGCCTGACAATAGCAGTGAAAAACCCAGTTGCACCTCTCACTCTTGCTAATGACATCCCCTCTGTATTATGCCTTGAAATAACACTAGTTAATTTACATCTAATTTATTCAGCTCCTCCCTAGACTGCAACACCATTTCCCTCCCTCCCCACCCCTGGGGAGGCTTGTGCATATTTAATATTTTTTCACCTTTGGGGAGATTGGTAGAAATTTAATTTTAAAAACCCCTTTCATTGAGATTGTGTGAGTTAACTAGAGACCAAAATAAATTCTATTGCGCTAACCGTCTGTTGAGCTACTGCCACAAAGGCCCATGGATACATGCCTGCATTGGGTGGAAGGATTAAGGGAGAAACAGGCCACCTCTCTCTGTCAGAAATAATGTAGATTAGCGAGCGAGTGAGCAACCCACCCACCTATTTTATTTTATTAAAATAAGTTTTAAATAAAAAGGTCTTAGCCTGGCGCCGAAAAACAAATAACGACGGCGCCAAGCTAAGACCTTTTTATTTAAAACTTATTTTAATTGTTAAATTATTTGTATTTATAGGATTTTAAATTTTTAGCCGAGATGCACCGGGGGTTTTTAAATATTTTTTTATTGTTATATTGTTATTATTTATGTATTTTGTTTCTGTTGTGAGCCGCCCCGAGGCTTCGTTGTGATGGGGTTGGCATAAAAATGTTTTAAATAAATAAATAATTTTCAGGGTGGCTTATCAGGACATGCATCATTACATCCATTATACCATTTTACATACCCCTTATCCTTTGCATGGACGTCGGCACCATGCTGCAGCAAAAGCTGAACTATCCGAACTCTGTTGTATCCTGCAGCCAAATGTAATGGAGTCGACTATAATAAAGAACAGCAACAAAGGAAGGAAGTTACGAGCCCATACAGCAAAGAACCAAGCTTGCACACTGACAGCTATTGTAGGCACAGGTGGCAACACTAGCCAGGGAGCAATTACAGAACTAATGCTTTGTGCTTTCCAATTCACTTGACCCTTCAGCTTGAAAACCACCTGAATTGCTAGCATGCATGGAGGTGGGTGTGGGGAATAAATTATACACCAATAACTTCCCTTTCCTCTGCTGTCTGCCCTGGACTGGCTCAAAGAAAATACTTACAGGCCACTGCACCTTATACAGCTCCCTATTAAGCGGACAGTCCAAAGCGCACCTTCTACCCCCTGGCTGACTACGGAAATACTGTCTCCATGAAAGTGGTGTCCCCCTGCTTTCACAACAGAAGAGAAATAAAATGAACGCTAAAAGAAAGGCACTTTCATCTTAGGTACAAAAACCAAAATACGTTAACGTTTAATGGTCATACTCATATACAAACTTTGCTACTGAAGGTGCCTATGTCTGAGTAGGTCTGTCACCCAATTGAAATCAAATTATAAGTAACCAACTAACTGCTAACCAAGAGACTACTTCCTACAGGATGGTCTGCTTTTCAGGAACGTGTTAGCCTGAGAACCCATGGCTTGTTCTATAGGTTGTTCGTGCCATGATGGGTCATACAAACCCCTCAGAGCAATTTCATTGTAGGTTGCAGGGATCAGTTAGCAAGCTGCTCAGCAAAAGAAGCAAAAACTCCTACTGTTTTTTTGTTTTTGTTTTTTGCAGTCATGCTCTTGCCATTACCAGGGACTTGTACCTCTACCAATGCCCAAGCAGCATTTGGGAGTGACCATCACTGGTTTGGCACCCTTTTTTTTGCAGCCCCAGGAAATTGTGCAAGTATGTTTGAAATGGAGGGCTCCTTTTGTAAGTGCTCTCTCTACTGCTGTCCAATATGTGCAGTTCTGCCTAGGCAACTAGTACTTTCCAGCAGGTAAGCCGGTTTCTTATAAAATGCTTATAGGCCAAGTTGTGCACAGTTGCCAAGGTCCAATTGCCTCCCAAAAAGAACCAGTAATGGGGATGGGGGCGGGGGGAGAAGATGTACTCCTCTTGATCTAAGTTTTGAGCTCACATTTCTCACTGCCCACCACCTATTAAAATACTTGCTTGAATATCCAAATAGTCCATAAATGAGAGTTAAAATTGATTATTTTTATTGTGGATTATATTGGGTATGTTTCATGGAAAGGCATGGAATTAATGCAGCATATTGTACATTAAATATAAATAAAACCAGAAAGCTCTTATAGTCAAAATACAGAAGAGTAGAAGATGAGGAGAAAGAGTTAAGGAAAAACACAGGATGGCCATGAGCACGTGCAGTTACATAAAACAGGCAAGGATAATGGATTATATGACCAATGCTGTAACACAAGCTTCCATCATGATAATGGCTTTTGTAATTCCTACAAGCCATATTTCAGGAGGCTCTCTGCATAGTACTTCTGGACATTTATTATATGGGTCATAGATGGTTTTTAAGAATGTTGTTGTTTTAAGAATGGAAAAGATTCCCATGGGTCTAATCAAAAGTTCTGTCATGGCAAAAGTTCAGTATAAAGAAACTTTTTTTATCATGAACACTTCCAGAGCTGTGAAATTTATTGTCCATTTAGCCCCTCAGTATAAGAGACTGTGGCTTTCTTGAGTTATCTCCTCTAATTACCTAGAGGCTTGAGACAAAGTACAAAATATGCACCCTGGTGGGAACTAAAGGTGGGCATGGCAGGGAGGAAAAAGATGCCAATATTTCACCTAAAAGGGGGTAGGGTCTGGTGGGCATGTCATGAGTTTCTCCATGAACACTTCACACTGTTTAGCTTTGTGCAGGATAGGTTATTATGTGACCTTCTACTTATTGCATGAGAAACAACACAAAGAACCACCAAATTAGTTCCAGTTGAAGCTTTTGACGGAAGGCTTTGACATGTATTTTCCTGAAAACCATACCCCTCCATGCTGCAGACCAAACTGTTTTTGAAACTCCCCTCAGATACAGGACCAATGGCTAGAGTTAGGGTCACTTTAAAAAAAAAACAGAATTCCAAGGACAAGACCAGTGCATAAGCCTAAGTAGCATTTTTTTTATCCCCAAAATCCCCCAAACTTTATAGGCTTGGGAACAGAATCTCTACAGTACAGGTAACCTAAAGAAAGTTTTACTGTGTCCTCAAAATTTCTCATTCCTGCTTTTTCATACAGTGACTATTTTCTTGAAGGTATTTTCTTTCTGCTTCTGGCTTGCCAGTTTACCCACAAATAATTGACTTTTATGGACTGTACTGAAAGCAGAAGATTAGTCTCTGCTAAAGCTCTAATCTAGCTCAAAATTATAGAGTAGTCCAAAGCATGGGCCAGGATGTCTGATTTATGGTACTTGTGACCAATAGAAGTTTTTTGCTTCTTGAATTGAAGACATTACTTTCTTACTTAGCCTTTATCTTCTGAGTTAAAATTTTGCCTTTTTGAAAGTATTGTGCTTCTGGCATTGAGACTAAAATAACTTTCAGCTGTCTGTGTGTAAAAGCTAAAGGCAGCAAACACATAATATCAGGATGGTAAGAGTGAGTATGCCCTATAAGCCTGGTTCCAAAATTATAAAATTTTCATTTCAAGCACTACCCCATAAGTCTGACTTGATACCTCCTTTAAAAAGAAATATTTGAATAGAATGTTTATTCATTCCCAGCTTTAATGATTTTTTTTTTAAATGTGCAGTTCTGATCTTTTATGGTCTTGCTTCTACAAAGGAAGTTCTGCTAATGACACCCAATGGTGAGCACCTTCTCTTCTGGGGATCTGTGGCAGTGATACACTGGAATCTACAGAACCAGGCAAGGCCTCAACCTTCTGAGAGACTGAGAGAACTTGGCATGTTCAGCCTTGAGAAGAGAAGACTGAGGGGAGACATGATATCCCTCTATAAGTACCTCAAAGGCTGTTGCAAAGAAGAAGGTCAAGATCTCTTCTTGCTAATGCCAGAGTGTAAGACACAGAATAATCAATTCAGGTTGTGACAACCCAGATTCAGGCTGGACATCAGGAAAAGCTTCCTCACTGTCAGAGCAATACGACAGTGGAACCAGCTGCTTAGAGAGGTGGTGGGCTCTCCCACACTAGACACATTCAAGAAGAAACTGGACAGCCATCTGAGTGGGATGATGTAACCTGGTGTCCTGCAACAGCAGGGGGTTAGTCTCAATGGCCTTCATGCCCCCTTCCAACTTTACTATTCTATGATTCTCTTCTAGGCAACAGAGCCACTGCTTCAGTTCAGCTCCTGCTTTTCAGAAATTCAATTCTTTAACATTATAAGCACGGAAATATTTGCTCTTCTTTTCCTAGCCAAACATCATTAACAACTATTTTGCTAGATTCCTAACAAGAAGGTAGAAAATAGGCTGTCTGAATGGTCTCTGTTACAGATGCTCTGATTACTAATTTAAATATTTTGTGGTAATAAAAGCTAAATGAAGGTGCTTTTCCCATAGGTTAGAATGCATCCAGATCTTTGCAATATCAATAGCCAGAGTCTACAGAATTCTTTACACAAATGTTTGCAAAAACAAGCTGCTTCAGTGAAAAAACTATTGGGAACCTGACCCTGAGGAACTGCATAGCACTTGCCTCCAATTTAGTAAGACTAAATGAGAACAGTGCAAATGGAACACAACTTTTCCTCAACTTTTGGAGTCCAGGTTGAAACTTCCGATACCTGGCAACTGCTGGCTCATCTAAGTTGGCACTTAGCAACTGGGAAAGTGTCTTGAAGGACACAGAGGATAACTTAGCGCACAATCCTGTGTGACAGAATAAAAGTTCTACAATTCCCAACTGCTCTAGCCCGGATGCTGTGATTTCTGTCAAAGCACAAGTAGGTCTATACCTTTAAATTGTCATTTTGGCTTTTTTTCCTGTGACTTTTGACTGTTTCTATGATCTGTCTGTCTGTCTGTCTGTCTGTCTGTCTGTCTTACAATCTCGAGAGAGATGGTTTGATGATACTCTTGTGTGCCTGTAACTGGAGTATTGTGTTCAGTTCTGGGTTCCACATTAAAGGAAGGATATAGCCAGGCTGGAATTGGTGTCACACACAGGTAGCTAGAAACCTGTTTACCTCTGTGGAGGAGGGCAGGATGTGTTCCAATGGAGCAAAGCTCAGCGTTACCAAGGCTCAATTTGGATGCCAGGAAGTACTTCCTAGCAGTTAGGACCCTGAGGGTATGGAATGGGCTTCCACGGGAGGTGACTGAAACCCCATCAAGTGTTCAAGGATAGGCTGGACATGCACATGGTAGGCATGTCATGAGTGGAGCCGGCTGGATCTGGGGGTCAGACTAGAAGGCCTGGGAGGCCCCTTCTGACTTGCTCTGTTTCGATGTTTCTATATAAATCTATCTTTTATCTTGCAAATCCCACCCACCTAAAAAAAACACCTCTTTTGCTTTATAAAGAGCTTTACATTAGTGTGCATGCCTCCATTTCTCTTTCCTGAGCCATAGGATTGCCAGTGGAGCTGAGAATTACAGTCTTAGAGGAGTACTATATATTACTGCTGTGTAGATTCCCTCCCACCTCAAAATGCTATGCTGTCAGACATGATCTTAATAGTAAGCGCCTTCCATTTTACCTTTCTGTGTGGGCGCAAAGGAATAAATCAGTGAGATGTTTAGTTGGCTTCACTTATAACTAGCTGTCCCACCAGTACTGAGGGGCAGTGGCCACTACTGGTCAGAGAACTCCAGCATCCAAATACATGGATCTCCTGGTTTGGCCACTACCTTCTATGAATGATAATGCAATTGAGAAAGCAAAAACAAGTGCTGTGACCCATTCCCAATGCCATCTTGCCCTGGGGGAAAAATTCATGTCTAATTGAGACTATAGTTCTCTACTTCAAATAAAATAATACAGTCACAGAAGTGTGGAATATAACGTCCC